ACGAAATTTCGCAGTTTCCGAGATGGGGTGAAATAAAGCAGACTAATGTGTGTGTGCTTCTTTGTGTGTGTGTGTGTGTGCGCGCGTGCGTGTGTGTGTTAAAGAGTCAGACAAAACCAACGAACAAACTTTTCCATCGAAATGTTAAGAACTGGGCACGCAGGCCCGTCTAACATTCTGCCCTTCCAGTCTCAGTGCGGGCACACAGTTACTCATGCATACATGATTTCATAGGTAGTAATAAACATGTTTAACCGCATTCAATGCCAGTGCTGGAATGTGCACCTACATTTGTTTAAGATAAATGGATGGATGGATAGAAGATTGATTGAGAGATAGAGAACGTTGTTACAGACTAATATGTGTGTTCGAAATGTGTGTGTGTGTAATTCTATTTGTGTATGCATGTGTATATATGTAAATGTGTCTATGTATAAGTAAATATGGTGTGTGTGTTTGTATGTGTGGAAGGGAGACACAGTGAGAGATGGCCGATACTGTTGTGTGTTAGAAGAACGTGTCCACGGCGAGTGTATACGTGGTATCATCTGTAAGACCGTGAATGTGTGGGTTGACCTGTAGAGCGGCGAGTGTGTGAGTGTATCATCTGTAAGACCGTGAATGTGTGGGTTGACCTGTAGAGCGGCGAGTGAGTGAGTCACTATTTCCCCAAAGACATTAAGAGACATTAAGCTAAAGAGGTGTGCCCGATCGTATCTGCAAGCGAGAATGCGAGTTCCTGACTGTGGAAACACGAATGCATGTCTGCGGAAAATGTGTACAAACTTGTGCAAGAGCGTTTCAACAAACCAAAGTATATGTCGGCTTCTGTACAATCTTGGCTGCAGTCGCTGAATCCAGACCCAGGGGAGAAGAGTCTTAGTTGGTCAGCGCGTTGCTAGATAGGTACATGAGCGGTCAGATAACAGTTAGTATCAGGTCAGCAGTTCACATTGGAGCCATCGATCTCGAGCAGTCTTACTCTACCTTTTTACTTCTGTGGCCCACTAAAGGACATTGTTTCACGGCCCACCTGACAGGTAACCAAGGACAAAAATAGAAACAAACATAGATATCAAGTTCATTTGTTCATCCCGATGTCACAAAATTATAGCTAATGCGACATCTACTTATATATTTCGGAAAATCTTATATGCGTGGCTCGAGCATTGTTTCTGTTACATCAAGCAATGCAATAACATCCATTAGATTTTTATGTTTGATTTTGATATGGCTGAGAAAACCTTTTCGCACACATGTGAGGTCGGGAAAACTGAAACATCTGATAGCTGTATAGCTCGGAAATGGTTAGTCATTTTCCAACACTCAGACAATAATTGCATCTTTTGTTTGGACACAGAAGTAACATCAGAACCCTACTCCATCTGCTTTTCCTTTTCATGATAATCAGACGCGCATATCTTCCAAGTAAGGGTTATTAATCCATACACTACTTTTTTGGGGATCCTCATTTTCAGGGAAAAAATTATCAAAGTATCCTAACTAGTTGATGCTGTTCAAAAAAGTTTCCAGCATTGTACATGTTTGATTCTGATCACATTATTTATATATTGATTGGACAGATCTGTCCTACCCTGTTACATGATTAAGCATAAATCTGTGGTGGCCCACCCGGACTTTTCCCGCTGTCCACCAGTGGGCAATGGCTTGCAGAACACTGATCCAGAGGACACCAGCGGAACCTCATGTTAGCACATTACCAATTCACTTTGAGTGGTGATTGTGTGTGACACGGTAATCCATGCATTAGCAGCATTGAGCGGCTGCCCTTTCCCAGTGACATAAATCACTTTGGAGGAAAGGGGAGTGTGTGGAAGGATGACAGGGTTGTGTGTGGAAGGATGACAGGGTTGTGAATAGGAGACAGTTGGTTTGATCTGTTTCTTATGTGAAGGGAATCCACACCTATTGGGATGTCAGTATTGCACATTGTAAACTGTCTCTCTAATCCTACGGACTGTCGTACTGAGTCAACTGTCTCTCTAATCCTACGGACTGTCGTACTGAGTCAACTGTCTCTCTAATCCTACGGACTGTCGTACTGAGTCAACTGTCTCTCTAATCCTACGGACTGTCGTACTGAGTCAACTGTCTCTCTAATCCTACAGACTGTCGTACTGAGTCAACTGTCTCCCTGATCCTCCGGACTGTTGTACTGAGTCAACTGTCTCCCTGATCCCCTGGACTGTTGTACTGAGTCAACTGTCTCCCTAATCCTCCGGACTGTTGTACTGAGTCAACTGGCTCCCCGATCACCTTGCTAGGGATGGCAGTGTTGTAGAGTCAACTGTCTCAACGATCACCCTGCTGGGGATGGCAGTGTTGTACAGGGTCAACTGTCTCCCTAATCCTCCGGAATGTCATACAGAGTCAACTGTCTTCCTGATCTTCCAGCCTGTTGTACAAAGTCAACTGTCTCAGTGATCTTCCAGCCTGTCGTACACAGTGAACTGTCTCAGTGATCTTCCAGCCTGTTGTACAAAGTGAACTGTCTCCCTGATATTTCAGCCTGTCGTACAAAGTGAACTGTCTCCATGATCTTCCAGCCTGTCGTACAAAGTGAACTGTCTCCATGATCTTCCAGCCTGTCGTACAAAGTCAACTGTCTCCATGATCTTCCAGCCTGTCGTACAAAGTCAACTGTCTCCCTGATCTTCCAGCCTGTTGTACAAAGTCAACTGTCTCCCTGATCTTCCAGCCTGTCGTACAAAGTCAACTGTCTCAATGATCTTCCAGCCTGTCGTACACAGTCAACTGTCTCCCTGATCTTCCGCCCTGTCGTACAAAGTCAACTGTCTCCCTGATCTTCCGCCCTGTCGTACAAAGTCAACTGTCTCCCTGATCTTCCAGCCTGTTGTACAAAGTCAACTGTCTCCCTGATCTTCCGCCCTGTCGTACAAAGTCAACTGTCTCCCTGATCTTCCAGCCTGTTGTACACAGTCAACTGTCTCCCTGATCTTCCAACCTGTCGTACACAGTCAACTGTCTCCCTGATCTTTCAGCCTGTCGTACACAGTCAACTGTCTCCATGATCTTCCAGCCTGTCGTACAAAGTGAACTGTCTCCATGATCTTCCAGCCTGTCGTACAAAGTCAACTGTCTCCATGATCTTCCAGCCTGTCGTACAAAGTCAACTGTCTCCCTGATCTTCCAGCCTGTTGTACAAAGTCAACTGTCTCCCTGATCTTCCAGCCTGTCATACAAAGTCAACTGTCTCAATGATCTTCCAGCCTGTCGTACACAGTCAACTGTCTCCCTGATCTTCCGCCCTGTCGTACAAAGTCAACTGTCTCCCTGATCTTCCGCCCTGTCGTACAAAGTCAACTGTCTCCCTGATCTTCCAGCCTGTTGTACAAAGTCAACTGTCTCCCTGATCTTCCGCCCTGTCGTACAAAGTCAACTGTCTCCCTGATCTTCCAGCCTGTTGTACACAGTCAACTGTCTCCCTGATCTTCCAGCCTGTCGTACACAGTCAACTGTCTCCCTGATCTTCCAGCCTGTCGTACACAGTCAACTGTCTCCCTGATCTTCCAGCCTGTCGTACACAGCCAACTGTCTCCCTGATCTTCCAGCCTGTCGTACAAAGTCAGCTGTCTCCCTGATCTTCCAGCCTGTTGTACAAAGTCAACTGTCTCAGCGATCTTCCAGCCTGTTGTACAAAGTCAACTGTCTCAGTGATCTTCCAGCCTGTTGTACAAAGTCATCTGTCTCAGTGATCTTCCAGCCTGTCGTACAAAGTCAACTGTCTCAGTGATCTTCCAGCCTGTCGTACAAAGTCAACTGTCTCAGTGATCTTCCAGCCTGTCGTACAAAGTGAACTGTCTCCATGATCTTCCAGCCTGTCGTACAAAGTGAACTGTCTCAGTGATCTTCCAGCCTGTCGTACAAAGTCAACTGTCTCAGTGATCTTCCAGCCTGTCGTACAAAGTGAACTGTCTCAGTGATCTTCCAGCCTGTCGTACAAAGTGAACTGTCTCCCTGATCTTCCAGTCTGCCATCACACAGTGAAGTGTAGACCTGATCTTCCAGGGGGGGGGGGTCGTACAAAGTATTTTTATCTCTCAGTTTTAAAGTGTGTATAGAGGTGGCAAAGATTGGTCACATGTGTCAGACAAGATGAAAAATTTAGCAACATGTCGTACAAAGGAACTGTCTCCATGATCTTCAAGCCTGTACTTACACAGTTAACTGTCTCAGTGATCTCCAGCCTTCCGTACAAAGTGAAAGTAAAAGTGATCTTCCAGCCTGCGCGTCACAATGGGCAGACTGTCTCAGTGATTTTACAGACTGTCAGTACTCTGTGGGTAATGTGGTCAGCATTACGCCGGCAGTCTTTACTTTCCCAGGACAGCCCATCCTGGTACCCATTTTAGGCTGGGTCGATCTGCGACGTCCCATGTCACGACAAAAGTCCACGCTGTCTGCAGTGATCGATCCAGCCTGTCGCTCACGAGTCGGACTCGCTGTCTTCAGACGAACCTTCCAGCATGTCGTACAAAGTGAACTGTCTCCCTTTCTTCCAGTCTGAGTGTATCTGCCTGAAGGCAAACTGTCTCCTTATCATGTCCAGCCTGTGACCAAAGGGACGTTTTCTTTGATCTTCCATGCATCTGCCTGTAGGCAAGGAACAGTCTTATGATCATGTCCGCCCTGTCGTGACCAAGGGGAAGTTTTCCCTGATCTTGAATGCATCTGCCTGAGAGGCAAGGAACAGTCTGCCAACAAATAAGACAATTCTGTAAAGTGGATATGCATACAACTTTGAGGTTCTCAAACAAGACTAAAGTCCAGAAGTGGACGAACAACCAGAACCTTCTACCAGAGTTTACAGCCGGTGAACGAGGAGGAGAAGAAGAAGAAGAACCAAATTTTGAGAGTGTTTCTTTTGCTTTGCCCTGGAACATTTGTGGTAAGAGTCATAGAAACTACAAAAGTGGGTCCCCAGTATTGTAATGATCATGCTGTTGTTTTTATTGCAGCCCGTTCTTTGCTGCAGAATTTCAGAGTGAGATCCCCAGGAAGTTCCGCTACCTTTCATTTTACATGTATGAGGTTGGAAATAAAAACAAGGTAATAAATTGTTGACTTTCACTTCCTGTCTGTTGCCGTGTACAGGGGTCATTTAACAAACATGTGGCTTTCTATGCCAACTCTATCAAAGGCAGACTTGTTTTCTCAGTCACTGCATCCCGGAAAGGTTACTCTGGGCATCAAACTGCAGGTGTCGGCTGAAGCCCAAATATCACAGCCATGCTGTAAACGGGCACAAAACATCTGCATTTTCAGATGAATAAAAAAAGTAATAAGACACGGCACCAACTTCACGCTTCATATAGTGTCGCTGGAGCATTGAGACTAGATGATTCATCATAACTGTATGGAAGCCACAAATGAAATGTGTGGGGGCATTCTATCCAAATAAGTGGAATAAAGAAATTAGCCCCCCGCAGCAACATGCTATACAGAAAGGGCAGAGGAGGACAGAGAAAGATTTAAGTTGAGAGCTTTAACAGCTGGGCAGCAGAAACATATCAGAGGAGGACAGAGAAAGAGTTAAGTTGAGAGCTTTAACAGCTGGGCAGCAGAAACATGAACTTCCTTAAAGTGTCAGAGGAGGACAGAGAAAGAGTTAAGTTGAGAGCTTTAACAGCTGGGCAGCAGAAACATATCAGAGGAGGACAGAGAAAGAGTTAAGTTGAGAGCTTCGAGAGCTGGGCAGCAGATAATAAAACATGAACTTCCTTAAAATATCAGAGTAGGACAGAGAAAGATTTATGTTGAGAGCTTCGAGAGCTGGGCAGCAGATAATAAAACATGAACTTCCTTAAAATATCAGAGGACAGAGAAAGAGTTATGTTGAGAGCTTAGACAGCTGGGCAGCAGATAATAAAACATGAACTTCCTTGATCTTCCATCAGAGTAGGACAGTGAAGAGTCTATGTGAGCTTCCAGAGCTGTCGTAGCAGAAACATGAACTGTCTCAGGGTTCGTAGTGGACCAGGAAATCGTAAATTACCGGATTTTTTTCGTTGATCTTAAAGCCGGGTTTTTAGCTTATGAAAGATATTCCGACCTTGAAAAGCCTGAATTTTACCGCGGCAGTGAATCGTCAGAAATCCTGATTTTCAAGCACAGGCGTTGGGGGAGCCATTTGGCTTTTTTGGCCATTTGGCTAGTTTTTGGCTACTTTCATTGTATGGTCGTTTCAGGTGTGAGGCAGCTGATTATTAGCTATTTTCAGCCGAAATGGCTTGTTAAAGGCCAGGGAGGGCGGGCTTTGTTACTGATCATGAATACATGCAGACAGCAGCGGGTGTGGCATGGGGCTGGAAGGAGCAGCTTCCTTCTCGCGTGTGGGGTGTATGGGGCTTTGTTTCTAGAAGTCGGGCAGAATGAACAGTTTAAATCGTGTATAGCCGTGGTTTCTAGAAAGGATTACATTGGGAGATGGTGGGGCTTGGTTCAGTTGTATTTAAAATAGAGTCGCCGTGGTGGGGCTAAGCACGGCCTTCTCTATTAAAAGAGATGGCATTGGGGCTAAGAAAAAATTGACTGCTCGGATTTCCCATTCAATTTTTGGCCTGGATTTACTTTACAGTGCTGTTTGGCGATCAGTATTGACAATTCCCCGAGATTCCCTCTTCCTTATTAAGTAAACTCCTCTCTCTCTCTCATCCCTCCCTCGGTTCATCTTTCTACATATTGCTCCTTCCTTCCCGTCTCCTGCAGTCTCTATCCTCCCTCTGATCTTCATCTTCTTCTCATTACGCCTATCTTTCCTTTACTCTCTCATTTCCTGGACCCCCCCCCCCTGGTACCCTATTTTATTTCTTGTTTAAATGTTTCGTAAATGCGACGGCTCCATACTCACGACAAAAGTACCACGCAGGGGGGGGGGGTTTCGATCTGTGTATGCTGGATATTTTCTTTTGATGTGTTCGGACTAGCGCCTTAATCTCTGTCCATCTCCCTTCCCGCCAACACATTTTGTAGCCTGTTCATCATATGGTGCCCAATCTGTGTCACTGCTTTCTTCTTGAAGTTTGTATTTGCCACTCTCCCTGAGAGGCTCTCTCTCTCTCTCTTATTAGCATCTCATATCTGGTCTCTCTCTCTCTCTCTCTTTCTTTCTCCATACCTTCAGTTGGTTAGAATGCATGTGTTGCCTAGTGAGAACATTTCATGTCCACCATTCCCCCTCCCACACATTAAATATGTCATACTTTTGAAAACACATTTGCCGACACCCCCTTTGAAGTTTTTTTTTTCTCTCCCACATTGATGACACCTAGGGGAGGGAGTGCACCCCTTCCTGCTACCTTCTTCCCTCTAATCTTATTTCTTACTCCCTGTAAATTGGACTTTATTTTCTTAAACTTTATTCTCTCACCTCCTCTGACTCACCCTTACCAGAAGCCTTCTACACCACTTTCCACCACCAGAACCTCTCCCCTCCTTTCTGAGTTTAAAACCAGAAATAAAACGAAGTCCACTGCTGCCCTGACCTATTTAGTGTGTGGGTAAACTTCTCTAACCACCAATGGTGGGAGGGATCCCCTGGACTTTTGCTTTGCCCTCATAAAATGACCTTGGCTCTCAGGTCATAGCCTAAGTGTAAAAATTGGTTGTCACACACAGATGCAATGGGCAGTAGGGGTTAGCACTGTTTTTTTGGACCACGGCCCATTCACTTTGAGAGCACTCATTGTTCTCACAGTGAGACCCACCCCACAAAGTTCCGCTACCTTTCATCTTCACACCCTTCTCTTTCCTTTGATCTTCTTCTATTCTCCTTTCTCTCTCCATTCTTCCTCTAATCCTTTCCTTGCCCTCTTCCTGTCCCTGTCTCTCTTTGTCTCCTCTACTGGGGTCATTTTCTCTAGATTTCCTTACCCGCTCCCCTCTCTCATTATGCCCCCTCCCCCCCAGCATTTTTTTTTTTACTGGTTCATCTACGTATTTTTTTTTGCCCCAGAACTATCTTTTCCCTGGTTGTGTCAGATACCTTGAAATTGGTGTGTTGGGGGAAGGGGAAGTATCACAGCTGTTGCTGTAAACTTTGGGTATCTTGTCTCACATCTGCCCCTCTCAGGTGATCTGTGTTTGTCAATAAGTCACCACGCCTCTCAGTGTCGCTCTCTTGCTTTGAGACTGTTTAATCCCATCATAACTTTCTTTGTATACCACAAATGAATTGTGTGCTGGGCATTCTATCCAAATAAGGTTCTGGAATAAAGAAATTTGCCTCTCTGTGCTGTCCCTTTGTCTCTCTCTCCTTTATGTCTAGATCTCTCTCTGCTTGCATCTGAGTTCTCACCCTGAGAGCTTCAACGGCTGGGCAGCAGAAACATGAAGGTCATTAAAATATCCTCCTTCCAGGACAGAGAAAGAGTTTTCCTTCGCTTTTCATCAGCCCAAACTGTAAGGTGCATTCCCTCTTTCAGTATTTTTTTCCCTCTCTGTCTATCGCGGCTCCCCACTTTTCCTCATCATGTCTCATCCCTTCCTCTCATTTTTTCCTCCTTCCCCAGACTTCTTTTCCTTATGTTCTCTAGCTTCAGCGGTCCATCTGGGCAGCAGAAACATGAAGTACCTCAGCAAAATCTTCCTCTCTCTTCAGACTCTCTCTCTCTATCTCCCCTAACCCTCTCACGTACCAGGTCCAGCACAGACATGACTTCATTAAAATGCCCTCTACCACCAAGCCCTAAAAAAGATTTATGTATAAGAGCTCAGGGGCTGGGCAGCACGAAGATGGGCACAGGAATGTAAGTGATCCTTGAATATCAGAGGAGGACAGAGAAAGAGTTATGTTAAGAGCTTTTTTTGTCAGGACAACAGAAAAACATGATGATGGTCATCTGGTAAATAACACATGTGGACAAATGAAGTACCTTTATGTCAGTAGACCCCTTGAACAAGTCTGGGAATCAGTTTCAGAATTTCCTAAAAATATCAGAGGAGGACAGGAGACCTTGAAAAGAGCTTCAACGGCTGGGCAGCAGATAATAAAACATGTACTTCCTTAAATTATCAGATGAAAGAGTCATTGTTTCTGATTTTTGCCTCAGAGCTGGCATCTGAAGAAGTAGTTAAAGAAAAGTGTCTTTCTGTATGGACTCTATCAAGACAGTCACTTCTCATTGTTTGACCTTCACCCCTGTGCTGTAGTACTGTGTTTCTCAACCTTGTTACACATGTGGCCCACCTGACAGATAAGCAAACACAGTTTAATCATTGAATTTGATGTCACAAAATTACATGCAGTGCTGCTCTTTATTAGAGTTAAGAACATCAGACATGTGTGGCTGGAGCATTGTTTCTGATAGAGGAAGTGCTGCAGACAAAAACACTCATTTGATTTATCTGGTTTGTGATAATTAAATGGCAGAGAAAGTCTTTTCACACAAACTGAAAGTGTAAAATGACCAGCAGTTTGATGGCTGTATAATTCAGAGATGGATATTCTTTTTCGAGTGATATATTTTATATCTGGACACAAGAGTGAGGTCAGAAAACAAGCTTGATCAGCTTTTCTTTGTCATGATGATCAAAGGCGCATGACCTTATATCTTCTGAGAATCCATTGTTAACTCAAAAGTTGCATTTATGAGACAGGAAATAATTATCAAAATATGCAGTCTTGGAAGAGAAATTCTACTTACACTACTCCATTATGCAGTGAAGCAGGAATTTGTGGTGGCATACCAGAATTTTCACGTGGCTCACTAGTGGGCCGTGGCTGCCCAGTTGAAAAACACTGATGTAATGAATATCTTTTTTAAGATAAGGAGCTTCTTCCCTTGCAGCTTATCAGGCTTTAGTTTCACGTTTCATATTTTTTTCTGGGATCGACCAAGCTCCTTAAAACAGGTACTGGCTAATGTTGTGGAAGTTATCTGTGAAGCAAAGGTGGTGAGAACAGAAACTGGTCACACAGTACCATTATGTTTTGATCTAGTGCATATGTTGAGCTACATGTAACACTGAAGAGCCCACAGCTGTATCTCTTAGGGGATTTCCTATGTCAGGACTTGATTCATGTGGAAACCTAGCCTCTGGCAGTGCATTCAAGTCTCTTGGTAATGTAATGTCTCACAGCTGAGGAAGAAACGTTACCAACAGGGCCCTAATTTCCTGTGTCAGGACTTGATTCATATGCACACCTAGCCTCTGGCAGTGCATTTGAGTCTCTTGGTAATGTAATGTCTCACAACTGAGGAAGAAACGTTACCAACAGGGCCCCAATTTCCTGTGTCAGGACTTGATTCATATGCACACCTAGCCTCTGGCAGTGCATTCGGGTCTCTTGGTAATGTAATGTCTTACTGCTGAGGAAGAAACGTTACCAACAGGGCCCTAATCCTTGCCAATCAGTATGTGTTCTCTGCTCCATGATTGCCTCATTTCATCTTACTACGCCTCTCTGAGGACATTCTGTTTTGACACATCCACTGGTTTTACATCACCAGTGGTTTTAAACACTTACTGGTTTCTGAGCTTGGAGGAGAGAAAGGAGAGCTCAGCAACACAATCCCTGTGGAGATCATACTTGGGTACTGTGGGACAGGACAAAAGTCTCTGTACCAACATCACTCTGATAACCGCCAGCCCTTGTTGGTGCTGAGATATCTTGACACTAGTGGGTAGAGCTAACAGAGCTCCAGGTCACTGGAGATTAGAAAAACAAATCTCACATTCTATAGAGCCAGTTTTAACATATGGCTGTGAATCCTGGACACAAGCCAAACAATTTCTTAAGGGTTCAGATATGATATGATTTTACAGAAGAATCCTAAGAATTTTTTGGACAGTAAAAAAGAGCAATATGGATATTTTGAAAGAGGCGAAGTTCAAAAACAACTTAACACAAACATCAGAAAGTGACAGGGATAATTTTTTGGTCTTGCTTTGAGAAGAGAGAAACTGGAAGATGTTTGTGATGAGGTGCTTTGCATGGTATCCACGATTACATTGTGGCCAGCAGAAAGTCCGTGCAACAAAGGATAGCACGAGATACTTGTGCCTAGTCGAGTAAGCGAGGGGCAGCCCGAGCTAGACTCGTGGTCAGTTGATCAACAGAAGTCAGAGAAGACGGTTGTAGTATTTGAAGATGTTGTCTTTATGTCGCGCGAATGGCTAGTGTTTGAATTGGTCGCAAGCGATGAAAGTGGGAATAATTGTTTGAACATGTGGAATAAATGGACCAGAATAAACTGACCGAATGTACAAAGAAGCTGAGTGGCGTTTGTGTTGTCAACCCTAGATGTTAAAGCCGGTGCAAACCAAGGTTCATTCCAAGTCGAAACCATGCCTCATTTCAATGTTGTGACCACTGGAAAGATCTGTGGAAGAAGAGACAGAGGAAGACAACATGAGATGATTCTTGCCAAGCCATTTGTCAAGACATGGAGGCATGTCAGCATACAAACTGATAAATGCTGTTCAATATGGAAGTTTATGAAGATGCATGATCACCAACCCGAGTCGACAAGGTACTTGATAATGGTGATCCTGCTTAAACTGAGTTTCCCAAATGACCAAGAACATTTACACTTTGGTCTCTTGCTGCATAATCATCTCATATGGGACCAGTCATTTTTTTTTTTAACCTTATAACTGATATTTCTCATTGTTTTGTCTGTTGGAAGCCTTGTCTCTTCATGTCAAGTTTTGGGATGACAAAAGTTATGTTGCTGACTGTGTGTCTGACCTAGTTGCTAGAATTCCATTTCATATTCATAGTTTCTTCCTCCCCTTACACACTAGATAGACTGACAAAACATCCCATCCTGGCACTAGATAGACTGACAAAACATATTTTAGCCAATTTGAGGCTGAATGAAAATGATGGGAACACGGTAAGGGACAAATGGTAAAAAAGTATGACAGGCTGCTGCAAGCTGATAAAAATATAGATGAATGAACTCATAGCATTTGAGAATGTTTGTGGCAGAAGCAGACAGGTTATACTTGGGGGCATTTGTGATAGAAGCAAACAGGATCACAGGAAGGGACATTTGTGACAAGCAAACAGGATCACAGGTGGGGACATTTGTGACAGAAGCAAACAGGATCACAGGTGGGGACATTTGTGACAGAAGCAAACAGGATCATAGATGGGGACATTTGTGACAGAAGCAAACAGGATCACAAGTGGGGACATTTGTGACAGAAGCAAACAGGATCACAGGTGGGGACATTTGTGACAGAAGCAAACAGGATCACAGGTGGGGACATTTGTGACAGAAGCAAACAGGATCACAGGTGGGGACATTTGTGACAGAAGCAGACAGGATTACAAGTGGGGACATTTGTGACAGAAGCAGACAGGATCACAGGTGGCGACATTTGTGGTAGAAGCAAACAGGATCATAGATGGGGACATTTGTGACAGAAGCAGACAGGATCACAGGTGGGGACATTTGTGGCAGAAGCAAATAGGATCATAGATGGGGACATTTGTGACAGAAGCATACAGAATCACAGGTGGGGACATTTGTTGCGGAAGCAAATAGGATCATAGATGGGGACATTTGTGACAGAAGCAGACAGGATTACAGTGGGGACATTTGTGACAGAAGCAAACAGGATCACAGGTGGGGACATTTGTGACAGAAGCAAACAGGATCATAGGTGGGGACATTTGTGACAGAAGCAAACAGGATCATAGGTGGGGACATTTGTGACAGAAGCAAACAGGATCATAGGTGTGGACATTTGTGACAGAAGCAAACAGGATCATAGGTAGGGACATTTGTGACAGAAGCAAACAGAATCACAGGTGTGGACATTTGTGATAGAAGCAAACAGGATCATGGGTAGGGACATTTGTGACAAAAGCAAACAGGATCACAGGTTGGTACATTTGAACTGCATTGATAATGTGTGTGCTACTGCAGCAACTATCATCACCAGTCCTCCCCAGAGGCATACAAAACATATAGCTGTTTCTGGAGTTAATTGATTTTAGTTTATCAGTCAGTCAGCTATTCAACCGATCAGTAATTTCATTAATCAGTGAATCATTCAGCAGTAACCTGCATGCAGATTCTCTTGCTCTAAGCTCCTTCATTTGAAAACTCATGATGATGATGAACTTACTCTCAGGTCCTGGGCAAGGTCTCTCTGAAGAAGGAGGAACTCTACAAGTATCACCAGAAGGAGCACTGGTTTCCTCTCACTTACCAAGATGGGGACACAGAGGTACAGGGCAAGGTTCATGTGGACATTAAACTGGAGGAGTGCCTCAAAGTGTCCTCGGATACCTCCCACAGGATGTCGGTCAGGTGAGTGGTTCACACTGTCCTCGGATACCTGCCACAGGATGTGAGTCAGGTGAGTGGTTCACATTGTCCCCAGATATATCTCAGTGGATATCCATTGAGTCACAGCACGGCAGGTGAGTGGTTCATGCTGTGCTCAGATATATTCCACAGGATATCAGTCAACATCTACACAAAATCTGTCAGACAGGTAACTCATATTGTCACTGCAAACATTTACACAGAATCTGTCAGACAGGTACCTCATACTGTTATTGCCATCATCTACCCAGAATCTGTCAGACAGGTACCTCATACTGTTATTGCCATCATCTACCCAGAATCTGTCAGAAAATTAACTCCTATTGTCATTGCAAACATCTACACAGAATCTGTCAGGCAGGTAACTCCTACTGTCATCACTATCATTGAATACATTTCACAGGATGCAAGGTGATTAGGTTAACCTGTCACTGGACACAGGTCCCAGGATATTTGTCAAGAGTGTGTATGTATATATGTTTGTAAAGCTAAAGTGGTTTATGTATTAGTAAAGTTACTACAAGTAATATGTATGGCATATGCTTGGTGTATGTATACTTGCGTTTACTGTTAAAAAGACTTAACAGTCTTAATGTTATTAAGTATATAATTAATGCATAACAGGTGAGTGCTAGGAAGGACACAGTGTAAAATAGGTCTGTGTGCCCATTTATGAATACTATTAAGTAAAGGACCCTTTTCCATGCCTTTAGGCGTATAGGGCATAAAGGGCTAGACCTATATTTTTATCGACCAATCGGCACAAGATGGGTGATGTGGTCAGTACCATGTCGGCCGCCTTTACCTCCCGGGACTGTACCCAATACCCACTCAAGGCTGGGTCGACCTGGAAGTCAAGGTCATTTTTGAAAAAAGTCTGGCTCCACCAGAGAGCTAACCCAGGACCTTCTGATCCGCACATGAGTGTCTGGTCACTACGCCACGGCATCTCCCATGAACTATACTATTGAAACAAAAATTGTATAGCTACTGAAGGGCACATAATTTTGACATTCACAATTTGTGGAATCTAATGAGTGACATTGTTCAAATTATGCACAGGAAATACCTTAGGGTTCAGCCAATCGGTTCGGACATTTCTTCTGTGTTTGGGTCTTGGATAGTTTTTAAGCATACAGGCTTTCATGTCAGCTGATACAAACATGCCACTACACGACACTCTTAAGCCATCTTGGATGTCTCTCAGAGTGATTGAATGATGTAATAATCTTGTATATCTTCCAGGGTGATTGAATGGTGTGATTAGCTTGTATATCTTCCTGGGTGACTGAATGGTGTGATAATCTTGTATATCTTCCAGGGTGACTGAATGGTGTGACTAGCTTGTATATCTTCCTGGGTGACTGAATGGTGTGATTAGCTTGTATATCTTCCTGGGTGACTGAATGGTGTGATTAGCTTGTATATCTTCCTGGGTGACTGAATGGTGTGATAATCTTGTATATCTTCCAGGGTGATTGAATGGTGTGATTAGCTTGTATATCTTCCTGGGTGACTGAATGGTGTGATTAGCTTGTATATCTTCCTGGGTGACTGAATGGTGTGATAATCTTGTATATCTTCCAGGGTGATTGAATGGTGTGATTAGCTTGTATATCTTCCTGGATGACTGAATGGTGTGATTAGCTTGTATATCTTCCTGGGTGACTGAATGGTGTGATTAGCTTGTATATCTTCCTGGGTGACTGAATGGTGTGATTAGCTTGTATATCTTCCTGGGTGACTGAATGGTGTGATAATCTTGTATATCTTCCAGGGTGATTGAATGGTGTGATTAGCTTGTATATCTTCCTGGGTGATTGAATGGTCTAATGGTTTTATACATCTTCCAGAGTGATGGAGTGTAGTGATCTAACTATAATCAACGGCTCCTGCAATCCTTACGCTGTGGTCTCAGTGTCCTATGGCAAGTCAAAGACAAAAGAGCTGAAGAAAACATCAGTCCGCAAGAAAACAATCTGTCCACAGTTTGATGACACATTTTATTTCAATGTAAGCGGCCATGTTTTTGTGGGTCCAGCCTTCAGACAAATGCCAGTTTTTGCTGCTTTGTATCTTGTTGTGTTCTCCAGGCTGTAGATTATTAATTTTTCTTTACTCTTCTTTTTCTTCTTCTTCTTTTCTAATATATTCTGGCTTTTAGTGTTAGGCTTTTTGAAGAGGCATTGTCCGAGCCTGAGTATGTGCTACGTAGATGCTGGTATTTATGACCTGGGATATTCTATCCATCCATCGCTTGCATGGTTGACCTCCAGCTCTGCTTCAATTATTAGTGATAGGCTTCACTGTGGTGCAAGGTCTGGTGGTATTCTTCAAATGTGTCCAAACCATTTGATCTGCTGTCTCTTACTTTACTCATAATCTTTGAAATGCTTATTTTACTTATTTCTTTGCAGTGAAGACTCCTACAACTAAGAATGGAGCTGCCTGTGTGGATTTCGGGGGGAGGAGGAGGGGTTTAGATGTACTGCTACCCCAACAAGCATGCCATACAAGGCAACTAATTAGAGGTTTGCTGGTATCAAATGTGTTGGGCTGGAAGACACAGATTTCTCAACATTGCTGTAAAGCACAGCCAGGGCTTTTTCCTAAAAAAGGTTGCCCTGACCATAACACAGTGTGCCAACCACTTGTCTAAAGGTTTATGCAGAAGAAGAATGGAATAAGCAAACTAGCTGCCTGGAAGCAAACCATATCAAAGTGAGAACCAACCTTTCATCTTGTACCTGGACACAACAGTCAGACAAGTTTGTAAACGGTGGAGGACAGTGTGAACAAGAAGATATTGGACAACATCTGTGTCTTTTTGTCTGTATTCCTAATGTTGTTACCCTAGTCAAAAGTGATCATTATTTTGAGACCTAGTCCCACACGTTCTCTCTTAATCTTTGTAGATGACATGGATGCCTTTTAGGCCTTGTCCCGCTTTCTTCTCCTCTCTCTCCCCCCTCTCTCTCTCCCCCATCTCTCTCCCTGGAACCATGTAGATGACGTAGATGTCTTTCATACCTAGTTCTATATACACACACACACACACTCTCTCTCTCCCTCTCTCTCTCCCCCTCTCTCTCTCTCTCCCTTCCTCCCTCTCTGTCTCTGTCTCTGTCTCTCTCTCTCTCTCTCTCTCTCTCTCTCTCTCTCTCTCTCTCTCTCTCTCTCTCTCTCTCTCTCTCTCTCTCTCTCTCTCTCTCTCTCTCTCTCTCTCTCTCTCCATTTTGTAGGGTACTTAATATCTTTTAAACATAATCCTACACTCATTCCAACTTCCTGCACATGTTTCCAACCTTGGGCCAACTGCTTTATTAAATCCTAAACTATCTGTCAATACAAGTTTACCTTATGACTGAGACAGCAGAAAAATGCTGTCTTGTACAAAATGTCAGGTGATGACTGTTTATAGTTTCAGTAAATTCCTAACAATAGAGTAAACCAGAAGTTAACTGTAGACTTTTAATGTTTGTCATGTTGAAAAGACTTAAATAACTTGTTGACCTTATTGAGCACACACCTGGTTGGACTGTCAGTGTGAGGGAGGCATGAATGTTTGACCTGTACTATTGTTTGTTGTGCTCCATAGATTGACAAGTGCCACAACCATGACAAGACCTCCTACGTGTTTGATGATTTCATGGCCGGAGAGATCAGGTGGGTTTCTCTTGGACTTTGCTAGTTTCGGCCAGTAAGAAATATCTTGACGGTATCAGGAGATGACACAGTTGGCAAATCTCCCGTCTTTCTGGACAGTAGGGTTATACTGTGCCATAGGAAGGCTTGGGACATACAGCATGATGGTGATGGCAAGAAACATGGAGTCTGTGATGTCACTGTTTCCTGAGAAGATAGTAATTGATTACTGGGACAGAAAATGGCAAATTGTTCAGTTGTAGAATGACACAAAACTTGTTGAAGATCTACTGCAGCTGATTTTTAACCCTTTGTTCCTGGAAACCATGGGGGAAAAAGACTCAATAGCCAGAAAATCTTAATAAAAAAAAAAAACACATTTGACACAGGTCACTAGTAAAGTTGTTACAAATCTGTTCACATAAACATTTAAAAAAAAAAAAAAAAAAACAGAAAGAAAGATAAATAAAAGGGAGTTAAAAAAAAGACATAAAATTTTAGATCCAAAACACTCCCTTATGCCTAAAAAAAATTATATGGTGACGTATACTGTGACACCGTCACAGTGCGACTACTAAAGGCTAAAGACACACCATAATGACTTTAAAATGCAGTTTTCCCCCCTCACTGTACTCAGAATTGCTATATTTAGTCCATTTAGTCATATCTCTCTTAAACACCGTGCAGGCACTAATATAATTAACTAGGTCAAGCAGGGACTGAAGCGTAAAGCTTATAAGTGGATTTCCCAGTGATTAGTTATGGACGGAAATATTGGCTACTCAGATTGAAAGGTTTAATGAGTTGATTCATTTACTAGAGATCAGAAGCAACAGTCAAATGTTTGCATTTATCTAGTTTTTATTTAACAAAGCGCTGAGAATCAGTCATGAGTTATATCAATGGTTTAAACAAAAACAAAAACAATCATTTAAAGGCCTCAGAAATCTAATTTTACAGAGAAATGTTCCAAATATTCTACAAAATTTCGAGTTGCTAATAAACAGTAGAGTGACTGTAATAATCAACTGTCTCTTAAATCTGCAGTGACCACCTCTATCTGTGTTCTCATACTTGAGGCAGTGTCATGTTTAAATGTGGTACTGGGCACAGACAGTGAGGTAGTACACTGTAGGCTGCACACAAACACAGACAGTGAGAAAGCCAGTAAATACAAACAACACTATTAAAGCTCTGAACAGTTGTTTGTGTTTTCCCTCAGCATCTCAGTCTTCCATGATGACTCCAGAGTTTCAAGAGAAGTTCTTGGCAATATATTCAAAGGAGGATTTCTGGGTGAGGTCAAGATTTCTATGAAAGACATTGATTTTACACGACCTCATAATGCCTGGTAAGAGTTTTGTTCTTGACCTAAGATGTATATTTATGTTATTTGTACTGTACTTTGATGTAGGGTCAGCAGTTCTTTCACTGGGCTATGATGAACATAACATTGGGATAGGGGCAAGCCTTATTCAGGGCTGAAATGACTTGAAGGCCAATGTAATGGAGCTAAGAGCAAACTTTCTGTTGGTGACACACTTTTTAGAACTTTCAAAACCTTTTTATATTGGTTTTGGGCTTTTTGGACAAATATAATTTTGCGACACAGTAATTCTGCCTACTAGCAAAGATATACTGCCGCATAGTTGGCATTATGTTCACACGACAAACCTTTACACTTCAAACACACACTAATGCAGGGCTCTTTAGCTAAGTTTACCCAGGAGTTGAAAATGGGGATCGTCGTGGGCTAGAAGCCCGAGACCCAGCATAGAGAGATCACTAATACAGTACTGTTGACAGTGATCCATGGGCCACTTGCTTGACCTTTGCCGGCCAGATTCAGCCCATGGGCTCTCAGTTGCATTGCCCTGTACTAAAGTATCAGGAAGATTGATAACTAACCAGCCAACCACAGATTGGGCTCCCAAGTCGACCTAGACTAAAGTAGCTGCCATGAAATGTCCTGAGAAATAAGCACGGCCAGTTTAATGTACCGGCTGGTCTATAAAATATCCTCCTAGCACCATTTACCCGAGGAAACTGGTGTGGTACAGTGCTAGAGAAATTATTGACAGTTTAAAAATTTTGGATTAAAATCTGCGTTAAGATGAATTTTTTTAAATATTAACCGTGGGTACCAGGGTCGACCCAGCCTAAGGTGGGTACCAGGGTCGACCCAGCCTAAGGTGGATGCCAGGTTGACCCAGCCTAAGGTGGGTGCCAGGTTATATTCTGGAAAGTAAAGGATCCTGGTGGGATGTTGACCACATCATCAAATGAGTTCCGAATGTTATGTACACATATGAGTCAGTATCATATGCCCGATACTCTACTGGCATAAAAGATTCTCTTGCTGACTTGACTGACCCTTGACCTCATGCGACACAACAGCTTGAACAGGGTTCAACATATCCATGTTCTGGGGTTGCATAGGATGGACTCACATTAACATAGAAAGTAAAATCCACTTTGAGGTTAGTTGAACCCAGATCTACAGAGCTGTTAAGTGAGTATGTTAGCCACTACACGCCACAGCTGCCAGTCTTGTAGATGAACAGTTACTGTTGTCATAGTGATCTCCACAATCTGTACAGTAGTCTAGACATGCTGCTGCTCTCTCTCTTGCCAGGTACTGCCTGCAAGCCAAGGAACAAAGCCGAGCCAGGGATCAGTCGCTGGGCTCCATACGTTTGAGAATCTCATATACTGCTGATTATGTATTTCCCTCCAATTACTATGATGGGCTTCGGAACTTGATTTTGAAATCAGGGGAGACAAAAGTAAGACTATGTTATCTTGGTTACCTTCTCTTGTATAACTGCCTTACAATGAATTTTATCAGTTCATGAATTATTTTTAAAATGTTTTTTTTTGTATGTTTTAATTAAACATTTTTCTTCTTCAAGTAATAATGTTATTGTATCGTCTGTTCGTGTAATGTTATTATGAATTTTATCAGATCGTGTGTTAGTGCTATCTTTAGTGTTGGCATAACAAATATAAATATACATTTTTTTTTTTTACTTTCTATTTGTGCGAAAATACTTTGTTCAGCCATGTAAGTAAAAAAAAAAAAAAACTAATCAGAAAAATGAAATGAATGTTATTACATTACTTCATCTGTCAGAAACAACTCTCTAGCCAGGCATATAAGATTTTCTAACCTCTCAGCAGTAGCAGGTGTCACATTACACAAATATTATAATTATGTTCTGTTAGATGAAACAAATGAACTGCCACCTAGATTTGTTTTTATTTTTATGTTTGGTTGGATGTGGTGGGTATAAAAAGGTTTAGGAACACTGGTATAAACGGTGACTAATGAGGGTTTGCTGAAATTGGATGTGTTTTGATCTGAAATATTACAGCTCAGCTGTCAGCCACACATAAGTGTGACAACAACACTATTATGGGCAAACGCAAAATAAGAAGATTGTTTTAAGTCCTTATGTTACTGTTGTCATTATCATTCCATTGGTGTGGTGTAGTCATGTGTTAATTCCATTTAATTTGAGAGAACAGTTTTTGTGTTCAGGTTGCTATCTTGTCAGACCCGATGTTTATGTTTAAATCTCACAAACTTTATGTTCATTTTAGGACCTTATAACCTCACCTCCAGTGTGCTGTGTTCATGTGTTGTGCCCAGTATTATCATGTGATATATACCTGTCTGCACACAGCCATTGACCTCCAGTGCTGTGTTCATGTGATGTGCCTAGTATTGTCATGTGATATGTACCTGTCTGCACACAGCAATTCACCTCCAGTGCTGTGTTCATGTGTTGTACCCAGTATTGTCATGTGATATATACCTGTCTGTACACAGTCATTCACCTCCCCAGTGTGCTGTGTTCATGTGTTGTACCCAGTATTGCCATGTGATATGTACCTGTCTGCACACAGTCATTCACCTCCCCAGTGTGCTGTGTTCATGTGTTGTACCCAGTATTGCCATGTGATATGTACCTGTCTGCACACAGCCATTCACCTCCAGTGCTGTGTTCATCCTGGGTGAGATTGTCAACCATGTAGAGAGTGCAACCAGAGAGAACGCCGCCCAACCCTTGGTGAAACTGTTTCTCCACCATGGCAAGTTGCTGCCTGTCATCAATGCCCTGGCATGCTGGGAAATGTCCACCACAATGTAAGAATGTTGGCTTTTGTTGATTTGTTGTCATCCTGGCACTGAGTGATTTGATTGGTCATCATCATGACACTAAGTGATTTAATTGGTCATCAGCCTGGCACTGAGTGATTTGATTGGTCATCATCATGACACTAAGTAATTTAATTAGTCATCTTCTAGGCACTGAGTAATTAGATTGCTTATCAGCCTGGCACTGAGTGATTTGATTGGTCATCATCCTGGCATTAAACGATTTGATTGGTCATCAGCCTGGCACTAAGTGATTTATTGAATATCTTCCTGGCACCTGCTTAGTCATCATCATGACACTAAATGATTTAATTGGTCATCTTCCTGGCACTGAGTGATTTGATTGGTCTTTATCCTGGCACTGAGGGTAGTTGTCTTGTCTTTATTGTAGTTAAACATGTCTGCTATGACTGATAGGTCGCCATCCTGACACTGAATGATTTGATTGGTCTTTATGCTGGCTCTGAGGAATTACAGGAAATGATAGACATTGTGGTGTTAGAAAGTGGAAGAATGGGCCTCAGTTTGAATAATGGGAAGACAGAAGTAATGGTGGTATCAAAGAAACAAATTATTCCTAAATGTGTAATAAAAGTCAATGGTGTTATTTTAGGACAAGTACAGAAATTTAAGTATCTGGGCACATGGATAACATCAGATGGAAGATGCATAACTGAAATAAGAAACAGAATTGGACAGGCAAAAACTGCATTTTATAAAATGAAAAACATCTTGTGCAATATATCCGTGTCATTGAGAGTTAGAAAAAGAATTCTTGCTTGCTATATACATCCAGTTTTAACATATGGCTGTGAATCCTGGACAATCGGTAGGCAGGCAAAACCATTTTTAGAGGCCTCAGAGTTGTGGTTTTACAGAAGAATGCTTAGAATACCTTGGACAGCCAAAAAGAGCAACCAAGAGGTTTTGAAAGAGGCGGGAGCCCGAAGACAACTTATCACAGACATCAGAAGGAGACAGTCATCATTTTTCGGCCATTTAATGAGAAGAGGGAAAATAGAACATGTTGTGACCACTGGAAAGATCTGTGGAAGGAGGGATAGAGGAAGACAACGAGAGAAGATGCTTGACAGTCTTGTTGCATGGCATGGAGGTGTATCGGTACACGAACTGATACATGCTGCAGGAGATCGCAGATTATGGAGAGGCATGATCGCCCACGCCAGTCGGCAAGGCACCTGATGATGATGAGGGTAGTTGTCTTGTCTTCATTGTAGTTAAACATGTCTGCTATGACTGACAGTTTGTCATCCTGATAGTTGTCTCATCTTTATTGTAGTTATATATGTTTGCTTTGCCTGACAGAAGGGGAGAAGGGGGCTTGGTCAGTACATACCATGATGATGTGAATTTCATGTTTCGGCACAGCAGATTCTAAATGATTATTTTGCCCTTACAATTTAAACATTCAGAGTAGAAAATTTAAGCAAAAAGATGTGAAAATAATGAAATTAATTGAGACACAAAGACTGATATGCTTAAGCCACCCAGTGAGAATGAATCCAACAATGTCAGCAGCGAGGGCTTACAACATGTTGTGCATCCTGAGTCTCACTCAGACTAGTTGTAAATCTGTGACATTTTCTATGTTTAGTTCACTGTTGTGCTTCTCGAGTCTCACTTGATGTCTGTTTATATTGGGAAGTGGGCAAGATTATAAATGCTATAAATGAGAGCTGGAAACTTTGACTTTAACTTTGATTGGTGTCTGTCTCAAACAGGGATCCTAACATTCTGTTCAGAGGCAACAGTTTACTGACAAAAATGGTTGACGAACTAATGAAGCTAATTGGATTGCCTTACTTACATGACACACTCAGGGGCTTCATTGACCAGGTTTGTTGATTCACTTATACCCTCAGCTCTCTGGCATCATCTCTGAGTGCCACAGAGGCAGTGTATTGGTATTATCTCTGTTTGTACATGTACACAGTTATACCCTGTATATTGAATTTGTTACCATACACTAGCTGTGAACTCTGGGGGGTGGGGGGAGATTTCTGGTGTGTGATCTGTGTCTGGAATTTTGGTCTTGTTCCAGGGAAGGATGAGATCTCTAGAATGGGCCCTTCTGTTTGCTGCGTATATAGTACTTTTCAATGTCTCTGATATTTCTGCGGTCCATATTCTGAGTGGTCAACCTCTGGGTCTGTTACCACTGTATCTGTATAACATTGCTTTCTCTGGTGTCCTGTCTGCTGCCAATCTTGTTACATGGCCAAACCATTTGATTTTTTGTCTACCTATAAAGTTCAGTATTGGTTCGGTGCCAATTTACGGGTATAATCGTTCATAAGTTGATCTTTCCTCATTACAACTAGCATAGTACGTAAACAATTCATATCTGTCGTGACTATTTTCCTTTTGTCTTCTGAAGACAGTGTCCATGTTTGACATTTATAGCAGAGAGTTGGTAAGAATATTGTGTTAAACCGTGTTCTTTTAGTTTTCAAATTCACATGCTTGCATTTAAGAATTTTCCAGATCTGGCTTACTGTGTGCAGGCTGATCCTTCCTGGCTTGTCAGGCAGAACCACACAGACTTGGAAGGACATGTTGATCTGTTCTCTACTGGCCAGCCTCAGGCAGCTGAGGTCCATGCAGGGACAGGTGTAGAGGTTTGGCCAGTTCCTGGTCAGGATGACCAGTATATAGGACATCGGTGAGCTAGGTTGGTACACAGTAGGAGTTTAATGTGGTCATTCTGGTACACATTTTGTCCTCACCACGTGGTATATAGGTTTAATCGGTCTGAGCTCTGGTACTGGTACACATTTTGTCCTCACCACGTGGTATATAGGTTTAATCGGTCTGAGCTCTGGTACTGGTACACATTCTCCCTTCAGCATGTTTGTCAGCGTCGGGGGAATAATAGTGCCATTCCTTAGGGCTTCTTGTGTGTGCAGTGTGCCTCTCATGCTTGGCTGTGTCAATCTTTATCCTAATTCTTGCATTCTTGGCAGTGATGTTGATACGCTGCTTCAAAACTCCTCTAAGTGTCCTATCTCTCTTGAAGCATTGTTGGCCGGCCATCTACGACTAAGGCAGAACCGGCCAGTCTATCAGCTCTTTTATTGCCAGCAACACCTAAATTCCATGGGACAGAGATAAAGGTAACTGCATGCACAGTGGAGTTTTGCAGTGACTCAATCCATTTATGTAGTTTATTGTTGTGGGACAGTTGTGTAGACCTGTGACCCATCATGACGCTGTTCACAGCTAATGGTGGACTAATAGTTTCCAGATCATTGACAGACAAAATAGAATCTTAGGAAATGTTGTGAATGGATAATTAGAACAAAATGTGTCTTCATGGACAGGTGATTAGTGATCCCAGACCCTGTGAGATTGACCCCTGTCGTCTGAAGGAGGGAGAAGACCTGACAACAGACATGGTAGGTACCTGACATCATCACCACCACTGCTACATCCGTATCATCTTCATCAGTGTTTCTGCTGTTTGTATCTGTAACTAACTGTAGCGTGCAGACATGGTAGGTACCTGACATCATCATCACCGCTGCTACATCCGTATCATCTTCATCAGTGTTTCTGCTGTGTGTATCTGTAACTAACTGTAGTGTGTACAGACATGGTAGGTAACTGACATCATCACCACTGCTACATCCGTATCATCTTCATCAGTGTTTCTTCTGTGTGTATCTGTAACTAACTGTAGCGTGCAGACATGGTAGGTACCTGACATCACCACCACTGCTACATCCGTATCATCTTCATCAGTGTTTCTGCTGTGTGTATTTGTAACTAACTGTAGTGTGCATATACTTCTATTAAACTAATTAACTAAACAAATGCACTTAGAACCAGTCTTGTCAATATTTTTTTTTTAAAGTAAATGTTTGGACACACTTGGTGATAATAATTTGAAGTAAATTTTAGGTTGCAGTTGGTGATAATAATTTGAAGTAAATTTTAGGTTGCAGTTGGTGATAATAATTTGAAATAAATTTTAGGTTGCAGTTGGTGATAATAATTTGAAATAAATTTTAGGACACAGTTGGTGATAATAATTTGAAGTAAATTTTAGGACACAGTTGATGATAATAATTTGAAGTAAATTTTAGGACACAGTTGATGACAATAATTTAAGTAAATTTTAGGATGCAGTTGGTGATAATAATTTGAAGTGAACTTTAAAATTGGCTCTTACTTGAAAATTCCATCTGATGTCAACATATAGGTTACCAGGAGTAACTTGTAGAAATACAAGATTGAAATAAAAGTCATATATTTTACAGAACCTACACTTGTAAAATCTCAGCTGTTGCATCCACATAAGCAGAGTGTGGTCGGTCAGGATTCTTCTTCATCTGCATTCATCCAAAGACATAAATGTGCCAGTTTACAACATGGCTGAGATATTTGTGCCTTTCAGCTGACTTCTGAAGGCATCAATAGCCCGGGTTAGCTTTCTCAGATTGAGGATTGATTTGTAAGCCATATGAAATCAGGCTAGGCATACTCAAAATTAAATCTGAATGTATTTTTGCTTCATTAAAGAGACACTGAAATGGGGAAACAAATAGATTGAGGAAACAAGGCCATCCAGGAGAAAGAGATTAGAGCTACAGGACCGGGTTCTATTTAGGAGAAAGTTTGAGGTCAATGTTGTTGAGAGAGGTTAGATCTACTGGACCAGGTTCCATCCAGGAGAAAGCTTAAGGTCAATGTTGTTGAGAGAGGTTAGATCTACAGGACCGGGTTCCATCCAGGAGAAAGCTTGAGATCAATGTTGTTGAGAGAGGTTAGATCTACTGGACCAGGTTCCAACCAGATTGCACAGGATAGAGGAGGATGGATGGCTAGCCTGTGAGCTTTACCTGAGGTTTGGGCACAACAAGACTATGATGATAATGATGGTACAAGTGAAGTAAAAGACTCTTTTCCACACTTCAGGCATATAGGGCTAGACCAGTATTTTTTAGACCAGTCAGCACTTGGTGAGTCATATGACCAACATCATACTGGCTGCCTTTACTTCTCAGCACCATTACCTGAGACCAGTTTAAGGCTGCTGGGAGCCAGACTCATTATTTGTAGAAAAGGTCCATCACCGTTTGCATTTGAAACTACAGATTTCAGTCTACACTGAGTCTTGATTCTTACGTCATTGTTGCCCAACAACCTGTGACTTTGAGTTGATTTGACTTGACTGATGAATGTCATGAATGATTGTCAAACATAGTCATTGTTTTTGGTATCCACAGACCAGCCTGTACGGATACGTACACGAAGCTCTCAGCATCATCGTGGGGTCAGGTCTGGTGTGTCCGCCCATCCTGAGGGATGTCTTTTGTACACTCAAGTCCCAGGCAATACTCAAATATCCAAGTGTGTACCAGTTTCTGTACTTAGAGCTCACCAGCATGTATATGTCAACCTTTTACATGGAGAAGCCCATATTTTAGTTTTTTTGTTCGTCACAAATCCCTGTAAACCAGTATTTTGGATTTAGGGCGTATGACCGTCTGATCATTTTCCTGTCGGCTGCTACCTGAGGGTTTGACGCTCCTGGGACCAAAGAGCTGTATGCTAGATTTCAGTCTGACAGGGCAAATCTCAAATACCCTGTCCAACCTCCTATAGCCTTACAATGAAGTCATCTGTAGTGATTACACTAAGTGCTGTCCTCATGTACTTGGTTGTCCTTGGTAGGTAATGAATGGGAATTTTATTAATAACTGCTGTAACTATATTCTTGTTACTTCTCTTGGCAGATAACAGGACAGTTATGTTATAATAACTTACTAATAAATAAATAAGTTACTTCTTTAGACACATTTTTTCTTCGTCACGTTCACCAGCTGTGAAGTCGGTTGGAAGATTCTGGCTGTTCTTCCACTTCTGGACTTTTTTCCTGTTCTAGAATGTTAGTTTTGCCTGCACATCCAGTTTACAGATCTGGCTGTAAGCAGACTGTTGGTTCCTCCAACAGGGCAGTTAAAGAACATACTCTTCTTACTTTCCCTGCTAAGTAAAATAACTTTTATTTTTCCTGGGTAGTTAGCATCCTTTTGATATTTTCTACAGGTTGTACTAGTGTGTTGGGAAATCAATAAGTGGCTAGACTGGCTGGTTCTGCACCAGTTGGTGGCTAATTGATGTATGACAAGCTTGATGTTGTGAGGGTGTTTTGTAAGAGCTTGAACAGCACAGATTCACAAATAAGTCATTACGATCTGAGTAGAATTGCGCTGCAAGGAGTTACCAGGGGATCTGGCTGAAGCTCAAACTCAAGGGAAAGGCGTGACAGATATATAGTCAGACAGTGACTTGTGCCAACGATTGGGACGGAGTGCTTATAGGATTGTCCCTAGTTCTGTGATGTAGATTTTTGATTCAGCATTTCTGTTATTAAAAGAAAGTGTTACTTTACATGAAATAACAGGGCAATTAAATTTTATGGAAAATTATTTGTCATAAATTTTCCTGACAGATAACATGGCAATTCGCTACCAAGTGGTCACCAGTTTTATCTTCCTGCGATTCTTCACTGCGGCCATCATGGGTCCAAATCTCTTCGACCTGTACTCAGAGACTCTGGTAAGTAACTTACCACTCAGTAAACCCATTCATCTTCGACCTGTACTCAGAGACTCGGTAAGTAACTCACCACTCAGTAAACCCATTCATCTTTGACCTGTACTCAGAGACTCTGGTAAGTAACTCACCACTCAGTAAACCCATTCATCTTCGACCTGTACTCAGAGACTCTGGTAAGTAACTCACCACTCAGTAAACCCATTCATCTTTGACCTGTACTCAGAGACTAAGGTAAGTAACTCACCACTCAGTAAACCCATTCATCTTTGACCTGTACTCAGAGACTCGGTAAGTAACTCACCACTCAGTAAACCCATTCATCTTTGACCTGTACTCAGAGACTCTGGTAAGTAACTCACCACTCAGTAAACCCATTCATCTTCGACCTGTACTCAGAGACTCTGGTAAGTAACTCACCACTCAGTAAACCCATTCATCCTTAACATACATGTCATCAGAAGTGGCTAATTAAGGTTTTGCTGAAGTCGGGTTTGTTTCGGACAAAAGGCATAAATATCACAACTGAGCTGTAAACCACATCTTCCAAGTGACTTTAAAGGGCATTTACAGAAGAAGAAGAAGAAGTCGTCCGTTCCATTATTGTTATGTTAATCAATGTTATTCAGTTATTATTTTAACTTCTGATTTATTTTTCTATTACATTACCTCAATCTTTCTCAATTGTTACTGTAACTGCTGTAATTTTTCTATGACATTACCTCCTTCTCTCCCGCTTTTAACTGAAAAATTGGTCCCATTTGTCTGTTACATGATTCTGTCACTAGTTGTACTCCGACTCTGCTTTAACCCAATTACACAGCTGAGAAACAAACCCTCAGCCTTCGGAGCACAAAACAAATGGCTTGATCACGGAGGCCTCCTCCTTCTGTATTCCTGTTATCCCTTCTCACTGATACCATATTGTAGCCCAGTGTTGGGGTTTTTCTGTATTTGTCTCAGGTGACTTGGGTGGTGGATTTGTCATCTTTTTGCAGAATTCAACTACACCATTTATCCATCTCTTTCTTGTCCTTCCTCCCAAGTGTTCTGTTGTACCATTTATCCATCTCTTTCTTGTCCTTCCTCCCAGATGTTCTGTTGTACCATTTATCCATCTCTTTCTTGTCCTTCCTCCCAAGTGTTCTGTTGTACCATTTATCCATCTCTTTCTTGGCCTTCCTCCCAAGTGTTCTGTTGTACCATTTATCCATCTCTTTCTTGGCCTTCCTCCCAGATGTTCTGTTGTACCATTTATCCATCTCTTTCTTGGCCTTCCTCCCAAGTGTTCTGTTGTACCATTTATCCATCTCTTCCTTGTCCTTCCTCCCAAGTATTCTGTTGTACCATTTATCCATCTCTTCCTTGGCCTTCCTCCCAGATGTTCTGTTGTACCATTTATCCATCTCTTTCTTGGCCTTCCTCCCAGATGTTCTGTTGTACCATTTATCCATCTCTTTCTTGTCCTTCCTCCCAAGTGTTCTGTTGTACCATTTATCCATCTGTTTCTTGTCCTTCCTCCCAGATGTTCTGTTGTACCATTTATCCATCTGTTTCTTGGCCTTCCTCCCAAGTGTTCTGTTGTACCATTTATCCATCTCTTTCTTGGCCTTCCTCCCAAGTATTCTGCTGTACCATTTATCCATCTGTTTCTTGGCCTTCCTCCCAAGTGTTCTGTTGTACCATTTATCCATCTGTTTCTTGGCCTTCCTCCCAAGTGTTCTGTTGTACCATTTATCCATCTGTTTCTTGGCCTTCCTCCCAAGTGTTCTGTTGTACCATTTATCCATCTCTTTCTTGTCCTTCCTCCCAGATGTTCTGTTGTACCATTTATCCATCTCATTCTTGTCCTTCCTCCCAGATATTCTGCTGTACCATTTATCCATCTCTTTCTTGTCCTTCCTCCCAGATGTTCTGCTGTACCATTTATCCATCTCTTGTCCTTCCTCCCAAGTGTTCTGTTGTACCATTTATCCATCTCTTTCTTGTCCTTCCTCCCAGATGTTCTGCTGTACCATTTATCCATCTCTTCCTTGTCCTTCCTCCCAGATGTTCTGCTGTACCATTTATCCATCTCTTCCTTGTCCTTCCTCCCAGATGTTCTGCTGTACCATTTATCCATCTTTCTCTGGCCCTTCCTCCCAAATGTTCTGTTGTACCATTTTATCCATCTCCCTTTCTTGTCCTTCCTCCCAAGTGTTCTGTTGTACCATTTATCCATCTCTTTCTTGGCCTTCCCCCCAAGTGTTCTGTTGTACCATTTATCCATCTCTTTCTTGTCCTTCCTCCCAAGTGTTCTGTTGTACCATTTATCCATCTCTTTCTTGGCCTTCCTCCCAAGTGTTCTGTTGTACCATTTATCCATCTCTTTTTGGCCTTCCTCCCAGATGTTCTGAATTACCATTTATCCACTCTTTCTTGTCCTTCCCCAAGTGTTCTGTTGTACCTTTCTTCCTTGTCCTTCCTCCCAAGTGTTCTGTTGTACCATTTATCCATCTCTTTCTTGGCCTTCCTCCCAAGTGTTCTGTTGTACCATTTATCCATCTCTTTCTTGGCCTTCCTCCCAGATGTTCTGTTGTACCATTTATCCATCTCTTTCTTGGCCTTCCTCCCAAGTGTTCTGTTGTACCATTTATCCATCTCTTCCTTGTCCTTCCTCCCAAGTATTCTGTTGTACCATTTATCCATCTCTTCCTTGGCCTTCCTCCCAGATGTTCTGTTGTACCATTTATCCATCTCTTTCTTGGCCTTCCTCCCAAGTGTTCTGTTGTACCATTTATCCATCTGTTTTTATCCTTCTCCCAAGTGTTCTGTTGTCCTTTATCCATCTCTTTCTTGTCCTTACCCAGATGTATCCATCTACCATTTATCCATCTCATTCTTTCCTTCCTCCCAATGTTCTGCTGTACCATTTATCCATCTCTTTCTTGTCCTTCCTCCAGATGTTCTGCTGTACCATTTATCCATCTCTTGTTCCTCCCAAGTGTTCTGGTACCTTCCTCTCTTTCTTGTCCTTCCTCCCAGATGTTCTGTTGTACCATTTATCCATCTCATTCTTGTCCTTCCTCCCAGATATTCTGCTGTACCATTTATCCATCTCTTTCTTGTCCTTCCTCCCAGATGTTCTGCTGTACCATTTATCCATCTCTTTCTTGGCCTTCCTCCCTTGATGTTCCTTTGTACCATTTATCCATCTTTCTTGTCCTTCCTCCCTGTTCTGTTGTACCATTTATCCATCTCTTTCTTGGCCTTCCCCCCAAGTGTTCTGTTGTACCATTTATCCATCTCTTTCTTGGCCTTCCTCCCAGATGTTCTGTTGTACCATTTATCCATCTCTTGTCCTTCCTCCCAAGTGTTCTGTTGTACCATTTATCCATCTCTTTCTTGTCCTTCCTCCCAGATGTTCTGCTGTACCATTTATCCATCTCTTTCTTGGCCTTCCTCCCAGATGTTCTGTTGTACCATTTATCCATCTCTTTCTTGTCCTTCCTCCCAGATGTTCTGTTGTACCATTTATCCATCTCTTTCTTGTCCTTCCTCCCAGATGTTCTGTTGTACCATTTATCCATCTCTTTCTTGGCCTTCCTCCCAGATGTTCTGTTGTACCATTTATCCATCTCTTTCTTGGCCTTCCCCCCAAGTGTTCTGCTGTAAAAAAAGTATCATACACAGTTTGGTCTGGCTCCATTTTCACTGGGTTGCTGAACCATTTTATTTCTTGTCTGTCAGAATAATTCAGTCATGGTCTTATTGCAACTGTCTCTCTAATGCTGGTCTTGTTAACCCTGTCCCTTCTTGTGTTGTTAGTGACCTTCATGGAGACAGCAGTGACCTTCATGGAGACAGCAGTGACCTTCATGGAGACAGCAGTGACCTTCATGGAGACAGCAGTGACCTTCATGGAGACAGCTCATATTAGTTTCTTTCAGACTGGCCATAACTCTTTGTGCTCCAAACAATGCACTGTGTGTAATTGCGTATTACTGACGTGCACCAGTCCACATGTTTTGTCTGTGTTTACATCTGATGTTTAGTGAGGGACTCTGAAAAAAGTCTGAAAGAATATCTGTTTCCTGCAAGTGTTGTATACTTGGGCCCTGTGGAAGTAGTATACCCATGGGGTTTAATGTTGCCATTCATAACTGCCTTGGACATTAGCTAGGACTTTGTGGGACTGAACCAGTTCATGTGGTTTGCTGCTTGCACCGTAGGATAACAAGTATTGCTTTGACAGCTGCTTGAGATTGCCAGATTGGCATTGTCTGTGCTTGGCCTTATCCTGGCACATTCAGATCAGACACAAACATCCAAATGCATTTTATGGTGTTTAGATCATGTCTAGACTATTTTTCATTTAAGCTAATATGCACTGATTATTTGTTTGTGAACCAGGAGCCATGTGTACAGAGGACATTGACACTCATCTCAAAGGGAATCTCAGGTCTGGTCTCACAGGTCAGCTCCAAATCAGTAAGTCATGTTTGGAGTGGTCAGTTGTTTGGAGTGGTCAGTTGTTTAGAGTGGTCAGTTGTTTGGAGGGGTCAATTGTTTGGAGTGGTCAGTTGTTTGGAGGGGTCAATTGTTTGGAGTGGTCAGTTGCTGTGGGGTGGGCATCAGCTTGACTAGTCCTTTTGTGTCATGAGCATTTGGATGATGATTATATACACTGCGAGTCTTTGTCTCTCATGGTGTTGCTAGCAGTCAATGATAAAGAACTGACTTTTCCATGGTACTATAGTTATACTGGTAGTTTCTGGGAGGGGGGAAAAGGGGGGGGGGGGGGGGGGTATAGTTCCTGTTTTTTTCCTAGATAGCTACATTCTTGTTTTAATCCTTGTCTATTTCTCCTAATCCTTTTCCTCTTCATCCTTTTCCTCTTTATCTTCTCGCCTCTAATCCTCCTCTTTTTTCCCTTATCCTCTTTCTTCCACATTCTCCTCATCCTGCTTCTGTCTCTCCATCTGTTATTTCATTAATCCCTCACTATAATGTGTCTGCTCTTGGTGTGGATTATCTGTACCCATATGCTAGTATTGTTTGGGGCTAATCATCCCACAAGTCTCTGACTCACTGACAATACATTCAGTTGCATCATCACAGTCTAGTGTGTATGCTTATATCTCACAAACAGTTTTAGAAGATCTACATCTGTCACATAGGCATGTAGTTTATGTCCAGAAGTTTCTCAACACTTCCCGCATGTGAGTGAGCAATTTGTTGGGGTGCTCGCCTGTAGATAGAGTCCTTGATGGCTGTGTGTGTTTACTGAGAAAACCCAGATGTGAGTGAGCAAATTTTTGTTGGGGGGGGGGGGGAGGAAGAAGGAGTGTTCACCTGTAGCTAGTCCTTGATGGTTGTGTTTGTTTGTATCAACAGAGCAATCTGACCACTAAGGAAGAATACATGACCCCACTGTTTGAGATGTTCCCACCATTGCTACAGACAGAAATCAAAATGGTAAGCATCCTTCTTGTTGTCTTATAGGCTAGCTACTTGTCTGCAAGCCGGGTGTTGATAAAGAATATACTTGACTCTAGCAGGATCCTGATATTTAACACACACAAGTCAGTGAGTGAGAAACGTACATTTTACATAGAACATAACAACAATTTGTATACAGAAAGTGGCATACCTTTTTGTACTAAAGAAATTGTTGCTGTTTGAGAAGCACTAAATGTTTATTTTGATAACCTTATATATGCTCACTTACAGAAGCGATATATATTTGCAGTGCCTACTTTTACAGACAGGCTCAAAGTTGTGCAAGCAAAGTCATATCTCAAATTAGTCGCAGATAAGAAGCACCTCCTGCATGAAGCCCTAGGTCGAGCTAAGGGTCACAGATTGAAAAGAGGAAGGTCTTAAATGGCGTAGGCTGAAGACTCAATTAGACGTGTGTGCAGGCTTGATACATTTGAACAAGGAGATAAGTGGGTCAAAGTGTACTAGTAAGAATAAGACTTGTTTAGGGTTCTAATAACGCTGTGAGTGCAGGGGCTGGCCAGCTGGTGCTACAGAATCAGACTTGTTTAGGGTTCTAATAACGCTGTGAGTGCAGGGGCTGGCCACCTGGTGCTACAGAATCAGACTTGTTTAGGGTTCTAATAACGCTGAGAGTGCAGGGGCTGGCCAGCTGGTGCTACAGAATCAGACTTGTTTAGGGTTCTAATAACGCTGTGAGTGCAGGGGCTGGCCACCTGGTGCTACAGAATCAGACTTGTTTAGGGTTCTAATAACGCTGAGAGTGCAGGGGCTGGCCAGCTGGTGCTACAGAATCAGACTTGTTTAGGGTTCTAATAACGCTGAGAGTGCAGGGGCTGGCCAGCTGGTGCTACAGAATCAGACTTGTTTAGGGTTCTAATAACGCTGAGAGTGCAGGGGCTGGCCAGCTGGTGCTACAGAATCAGACTTGTTTAGGGTTCTAATAACGCTGAGAGTGCAGGGGCTGGCCAGCTGGTGCTACAGAATCAGACTTGTTTAGGGTTCTAATAACGCTGAGAGTGCAGGGGCTGGCCAGCTGGTGCTACAGAATCAGACTTGTTTAGAGTTCTAATAACGCTGTGAGTGCAGGGGCTGGCCAGCTGGTGCTACAGAATCAGACTTGTTTAGGGTTCTAATAACGCTGTGAGTGCAGGGGCTGGCCAGCTGGTGCTACAGAATCAGACTTGTTTAGGGTTCTAATAACGCTGTGAGTGCAGGGGCTGGCCAGCTGGTGCTACAGAATCAGAAATTCAACATTGGGGTTTATAGCTAAAACGAATGGACGTCACTTAGTGCAACAAAGCCTGGCATATGAAATCCAATCTGGTTTTAAAATGGAGGTAGAGGCAGTCACTACTGCCTTCTGCTGACTTGAGAATCATCTGTAATCCTAACTGACTCACAGAACATATTGAGAAAGGTAGAGACAGGCATGCTCCATGTAGAGTGGCAAACATTGCTTCAGAGGTCCCAGGAGTTAGCGTCCTTTGGATATTTTATCTAGATCATACGTTAGTAAATGAGCAGGCATACAGACTTGCTGGTTCTGCACCACTTGATGGTGAACTGATGTATGACAACTTGGATGTTGTGTCAGCTGTGTTTTTGTCCAGTGATTCTTCAGTCTCCAGGGAAACATGTATTGTGATGTTGTGTCAGCTGTGTTTTTGTCCAGTGATTCTTCAGTCTCCAGGGAAACATGTATTGTGATGTTGTGTCAGCTGTGTTTTTGTCCAGTGATTCTTCAGTCTCCAGGGAAACATGTATTGAGATGTTGTGTCAGCTGTGTTTTTGTCCAGTGATTCTTCAGTCTCCAGGGAAACATTGTGTGATTAACATTGTGCCTGTTTCTGCAGTTTTTAGACATCATATCCTCAAGTACAGGGTCACATGTCAAGGTCATTGAAGCTCCAATCATTCTCAAAGAAGGGTATGTTTCTGTAATATTTTATTTCTGTACTTGACAGTTCATATACGGTAGAATCTCAATATGTTTACATATGTGAATATTCATAGCACACAGACAGATGCACGCATGCACACACACACACACACACACTCGCACACATGCACACACACTGCATACAATGAATGTAATCTCATACAATAAATCCTGGATATTAAAAAAAAGCCACTCATAGAACCCCCTGAAGCCACCTACTTGTGGTTTTCATGAGACTGCTAAAAATACTTTCGCGTTCAACCAAATATGGTGTGAGAGGCTAAGATGGGAAGACAACTTCTCACAAACATTGAAAAGAATTAGTTAACACTTGAAATAAGGAGAAGGGGAACACTGGAACCTATGACAACTGGAAACCTGTCTTTAAAAGAATTGATGCATTCTATTGGCCAGGAGTTTTTTCATTTTTTCCAAAGAAAAAAGATGTTGGTACCATAGAGTGGCAAAAAAAAAAATAAAGTTGCCAGTATTCACTACAGAGTGGCTAAAAAAAAAAAGTTGCCAGTTTTCATCACAGAGTGGCTAAAAAAAAAAGTTGCCAGTATTCACCACAGAGTGGCTAAAAAAAAAAGAAAGTTGCCACTATTCACCACAGAGTGGCTAAAAAAAAAAAAAAAAAAGGTGTCAGTACTCACAAAAAATGTCTATGACACTAGTGTTGAAAAGAAGGATGCAAAAAAAAAAATATTTTAGTTGGGGCTGATAGCGACATAAGAACTGATTGATGGCGAATGGGTGATGTGGAGAAGCATTATTACCCTGTATAGTCTGGGGCTTCAGTGTGGTCCTGGAATGATGTCTGAGAGAATAAAGACAACACAATGATAACTGCCCATTGAGGATCATGTCAGTCACATGAAAGATGCTTGCTGTACACATCCGTTTGACAATGTTTCATTTACTTCCAGCTATCTCATCAAACGAGCACAAGGGAGGAAGAGATTTGGGATTCTCAACTTCAAAAAACGATATTTCCAACTGAGTAACCAGTCTCTGTCTTATTATAAGAACAAAGGTATGTCTGTGTTAGATGTTTGATCTGGTAACTGCAGATATCATTGTGACCTGTGACCTCACTGTGCCTGTATGTGATCTGTCACCTCATGTGTTAGGTATGTTCCGGATGTCTCTGGCAGGCCGTGAGGAAAACCACACTCATGACTCATATCTTCAGTCATACTTGTCTTATTTGTTTACACAATGCACTTAGTTCAGCCTGTGAACTGAACCAGGTTTACACAATGCACTCAGTTCAGCCTGTGAACTGAACCAGGTTTACACAATGCACTCAGTTCAGCCTGTGAACTGAACCAGGTTTGCACAATGCACTCAGTTCAGCCTGTGAACCTTTACCAGGTTTGCACAATGCACTCAGTTCAGCCTGTGAACTGAACCAGGTTTACACAATGCACTCAGTTCAGCCTGTGAACTGAACCAGGTTTACACAATGCACTCAGTTCAGCCTGTGAACTGAACCAGGTTTACACAATGCACTCAGTTCAGCCTGTGAACTGAACCAGGTTTACACAATGCACTCAGTTCAGCCTGTGAACTGAACCAGGTTTGCACAAGTCGGAAGCAGAAGTCATTAATTCTAGCCACTTGCCCAATGCATCTGCCTGAGAAGCAAAGAAACAATAGCCTGCATACAAATAAGCCAGATCTATAAAACAGGTGTGCAAACACTCAGGTTCTGGAACAAGAATAAAGTTCAGAAGTGGACGAACAACCCGAACTTTCTGCCAGACTTTGCAGCCAGTAAACATGAAAAAGAAGACAATTTTATTGAATTGTTATGTTTGCTTATCATAAAATTAAATTATATAGTTATCGATTTATTATCAGTTGATTAGCCATAACTAGAGACTAATTAGTCCCATTCTCATCCCCCCCCCCCCCACCACCTCATCATTTATTTCTGTGTGGCAATTTTATCAGAATTGTACATAACCTGGTATATAGCACATTGTACATAACCTGATATACAGCACATTGTACATAACCTGATATACAACACATTGTACATGACCTGATATACAGCACATTGTACATGACCTGATATACAGCACATTGTACATAACCTGATATACAGCACATTGTACATAACCTGATATACAGCACATTGTGCATAACCTGATATACAGCACATTGTACATAACCTGGTATACAGCACATTGTACATAACCTGATATACAGCACATTGTACATGACCTGATATACAGCATATTGTACATAACCTGGTATACAGCACATTGTACATAACCTGATATACAGCACATTGTACATGACCTGATATACAGCACATTGTACATGACCTGATATACAGCACATTGTACATGACCTGATATACAGCACATTGTACATGACCTGATATACAGCATATTGTACATGACCTGATATACAGCACATTGTACATAACCTGGTATACAGCACATTGTACATAACCTGATATACAGCACATTGTACATAACCTGGTATACAGCACATTGTACATAACCTGGTATACAGCACATTGTACATAACCTGGTATACAGCACATTGTACATAACCTGGTATACAGCACATTGTACATAACCTGGTATACAGCACATTGTACATAACCTGGTATACAGCACATTGTACATAACCTGGTATACAGCACATTGTACATAACCTGGTATACAGCACATTGTACATGACCTGGTATACAGCACATTGTACATGACCTGATATACAGCACATTGTACATAACCTGATATACAGCACATTGTACATGACCTGATATACAGCACATTGTACATGACCTGATATACAGCATATTGTACATAACCTGATATACAGCATATTGTACATAACCTGATATACAGCACATTGTACATGACCTGGTATACAGCACATTGTACATGACCTGGTATATTTTAGTCATTGATTCCCAGTAGACCTACTAAAGCTAGAGGCCATGAAGTGAGAAATGAGTGAGGTGCTGGTCTGTAGCCAGTGATTCCCAGTGGACCTACTAAAGCTAGAAGTGATGAAGTGAGAAATGAGTGAGGTGCTGGCATGTAGCCAGTGAGTGATTCCCAGTGGACCTACTAAAGCTAGAGGCCATGAAGTGAGAAATGAGTGAGGTGCTGGCCTGTAGCCAGTGATTCCCAGTGGACCTACTAAAGCTAGAGGCCATGAAGTGAGAAATGAGTGAGGTGAGGTGCTGGCATGTAGCCAGTGATTCCCAGTAGACCTACTAAAGCTAGAGGCCATGAAGTGAGAAATGAGTGAGGTGCTGGCCTGTAGCCAGTGATTCCCAGTAGACCTACTAAAGCTAGAGGCCATGAAGTGAGAAATGAGTGAGGTGCTGGCATGTAGCCAGTGATTCCCAGTAGACCTACTAAAGCTAGAGGCCATGAAGTGAGAAATGAGTGAGGTGCTGGCCTGTAGCCAGTGATTCCCAGTAGACCTACTAAAGCTAGAGGCCATGAAGTGAGAAATGAGTGAGGTGCTGGCATGTAGCCAGTGAGTGATTCCCAGTAGACCTACTAAAGCTAGAGGCCATGAAGTGAGAAATGAGTGAGGTGCTGGCCTGTAGCCAGTGATTCCCAGTAGACCTACTAAAGCTAGAGGCCATGAAGTGAGAAATGAGTGAGGTGCTGGCCTGTAGCCAGTGATTCCCAGTAGACCTACTAAAGCTAGAAGTGATGAAGTGAGAAATGAGTGAGGTGCTGGCATGTAGCCAGTGAGTGATTCCCAGTGGACCTACTAAAGCTAGAGGCGATGAAGTAAGAAATGAGTGAGGTGCTAGCGTGTGGCCAGTGATTGATTCCCAGTGGACCTACTAAAGCTAGAAGTGATGAAGTGAGAAATGAGTGAGGTGCTGGCATGTAGCCAGTGAGTGATTCCCAGTGGACCTACTAAAGCTAGAGGCGATGAAGTAAGAAATGAGTGAGGTGCTAGCGTGTGGCCAGTGATTGATTCCCAGTGGACCTACTAAAGCTAGAAGTGATGAAGTGAGAAATGAGTGAGGTGCTGGCATGTAGCCAGTGAGTGATTCCCAGTGGACCTACTAAAGCTAGAGGCGATGAAGTAAGAAATGAGTGAGGTGCTAGCGTGTGGCCAGTGATTGATTCCCAGTGGACCTACTAAAGCTAGAAGTGATGAAGTGAGAAATGAGTGAGGTGCTGGCCTGTAGCCAGTGATTCCCAGTGGACCTACTAAAGCTAGAGGCCATGAAGTGAGAAATGAGTGAGGTGCTGGTGTGTGGCCAGTGAGTGATTCCCAGTGGACCTACTAAAGCTAGAGGCCATGAAGTGAGAAATGAGTGAGGTGCTGGTGTGTGGCCAGTGAGTGATTCCCAGTGGACCTACTAAAGCTAGAGGTGATGAAGTGAGAAATGAGTGAGGTGCTGGCATGTAGCCAGTGATTCCCAGTGGACCTACTAAAGCTAGAGGCGATGAAGTGAGAAATGAGTGAGGTGCTGGTGTGTAGCCAGTGAGTGATTCCCAGTGGACCTACTAAAGCTAGAGGCGATGAAGTGAGAAATGAGTGAGGTGCTGGTGTGTAGCCAGTGAGTGATTCCCAGTGGACCTACTAAAGCTAGAGGCGATGAAGTAAGAAATGAGTGAGGTGCTAGCGTGTGGCCAGTGATTGATTCCCAGTGGACCTACTAAAGCTAGAAGTGATGAAGTGAGAAATGAGTGAGGTGCTGGCCTGTAGCCAGTGATTCCCAGTGGACCTACTAAAGCTAGAGGCGATGAAGTGAGAAATGAGTGAGGTGCTGGTGTGTAGCCAGTGAGTGATTCCCAGTGGACCTACTAAAGCTAGAGGTGATGAAGTGAGAAATAAGTGAGGTGCTGGTGTGTAGCCAGTCATTGATTCCCAGTGGACCTACTAAAGCTAGAGGCCATGAAGTGAGAAATGAGTGAGGTGCTAGCGTGTGGCCAGTGATTGATTCCCAGTGGACCTACTAAAGCTAGAGGCCATGAAGTAAGAAATGAGTGAGGTGCTGGCCTGTAGCCAGTGAGTGATTCCCAGTGGACCTACTAAAGCTAGAGGTGATGAAGTGAGAAATGAGTTAGGTGCTAGCGTGTGGCCAGTGAGTGATTCCCAGTGGACCTACTAAAGCTAGAGGCGATGAAGTGAGAAATGAGTGAGGTGCTGGCCTGTAGCCAGTGATTCCCAGTGGACCTACTAAAGCTAGAGGTGATGAAGTGAGAAATGATTGAGGTGCTGGCATGTAGCCAGTGATTCCCAGTGGACCTACTAAAGCTAGAGGTGATGAAGTGAGAAATGAGTGAGGTGCTGGTGTGTAGCCAGTGATTGATTCCCAGTGGACCTACTAAAGCTAGAAGTGATGAAGTGAGAAATGAGTGAGGTGCTGGTGTGTAGCCAGTGAGTGATTCCCAGTGGACCTACTAAAGCTAGAGGCGATGAAGTGAGAAATGAGTGAGGTGCTGGCCTGTAGCCAGTGATTCCCAGTGGACCTACTAAAGCTAGAGGTGATGAAGTGAGAAATGATTGAGGTGCTGGCATGTAGCCAGTGATTCCCAGTGGACCTACTAAAGCTAGAGGTGATGAAGTAAGAAATGAGTGTGGTGCTGGTGTGTAGCCAGTGAGTGATTTTAGTGATATATCTGCTGTTTCTGCAGGGGACAAGCATGTGTTGTATCAAATTCCCATAGCTGAAATCTTGGCCGTGGAGAAGCTGGAGGAGGAGTCATTCAAGATGAAATATGTGAGCTTCTATGTTTATGTCCTGCTCTCTCATTCTTTCTGTCTGTCGCTGTGCTGTCTCTCAGGGTCACAAGAGGCAACTCCCTGAAATCCTCATAAGACAAAGCTCTTGAGTGTCTCATCCCAGGCTGCAGATAAAACATTACAGGATGGGAGAGGAGCTCACACTTTATGGCTGGTTATGACACTTGACATTGTAGTGATCATGCAGACTCTGCCATCTGTTTCGTTCACATATTCTGTAGGGCAGAGCTTTCCAGTTACCTAAAACTTGGAGAATTCTGTTATTGCTGAAGAAAGTCTGCCACAGACCGTCAACTTGTAAACAGTCGCACTGGAGAAGTTATCATTTCTCAATAACAAAATCACAATAACAAATTTAAACAAAATAAATAAAAAGGGTTGCATTCTAAAGTTGGAGGTTTTTTTGGTAAATTATATTAATGACCCCATATAAGTGATCCCATATTAGTGACCCCCATATTAGTGACCCCATATTAGTGACCAGCAGATAGGACAGACTGGTGAAGGACATCTGATAAGTCAGCACCACAACTTATAGCAATATTACACTTGCAACATTTCACTGAACTGCCTGTTATCTCTGTCAAAAGATAATGAACACTCAGTAGCTTTATTGTATCATATACGACAACCAGCGCATTGACTACACATGAAAAGATCAGAAGTGAAATCATGAGGTTGCTTTAGGAGAACAGGGACTGATGCCATTAAAGAGCTTCAACATCAACACAGAATGACAATAGCCATTGCTGCCCATCAAGCAGATGATCACAGACAGTTCTTCCTCACAATGCTTCATGACAATATTGATGGACCCAACCTAATAATCTGGGTCCCTGATATTTATTCTGACAGGAGACAATAAAGAAACAGACAAGTCCCTTCATTTAATAATTTAATGTTTTGGCTTAGGGGCTGTTAATTTCTGTTTGAATCATTTCCACATTCCCCACAGTCTGTGTTCTGTGTAAATCATTATCATATTTCTACAAGTCTATGTTCTGTGTCATTCACTATCCTTCATCTCCAAGTCAGTGTTCTGTGTAATTCACTGTCATATTTCTAAAAGTCTGTGTTCTGTGTAAATCACTGTCATATTTCTAAAAGTCTGTGTTCTGTGTAAATCACTGTCATATTTCTAAAAGTCTGTGTTCTGTGTAAGTCACTATCATATTTCTAAAAGTCTGTGTTCTGTGTAATGCACTGTCATATTTCTAAAAGTCTGTGTTCTGTGTAAATCACTATCATATTTCTAAAAGTCTGTGTTCTGTGTAAATCAATGTCATATTTCTAAAAGTCTGTGTTCTGTGTAAGTCACTGTCATATTTCTAAAAGTCTGTGTTCTGTGTAAATCACTGTCATATTTCTAAAAGTCTGTGTTCTGTGTAAATCACTGTCATATTTCTAAAAGTCTGTGTTCTGTGTAAATCACTGTCATATTTCTAAAAGTCTGTGTTCTGTGTAAATCACTGTCATATTTCTAAAAGTCTGTTCTGTGTAAATCACTGTCATATTTCTAAAAGTCTGTGTTCTGTGTAAGTCACTGTCATATTTCTAAAAGTCTGTGTTCTGTGTAAATCACTGTCATATTTCTAAAAGTCTGTGTTCTGTGTAAGTCTAGGCTATCTGTGTAAATCAGGGCTTTTCATCATAGTTTACTCAGCTACGAAAATTTTGAAAATGGGGATCGTCACTGGCCAGAGGCCCATGCCCCAGCGTAGAAATGTCATTAAAACAGTACAACTGGCAATGATACGTGGACCACTTCCTAGGCCTTATGGGCCAGATTCGTCCCATGGGCTGCCAGTTCTAGTATAAGTCATTGCTTGACTTCAAAACTGTTGCCAGTTTGGAAGATTTTTAAAAGCCCATCAACCTTCTGTGAGCCAGTTAAAGTCTGTCTGTATCCATCAGGAATATAAAAATCTGTCTCTATATTTTATGCAAGTTTTTGTTAGTGTTCTAAAAGTCTGTCTATTCCGTTATGTGAATGTTACCAGTTTAGAAAGTCTGGCCTTATTTTGCATCAGATATTGCTGTGTATACTGAATGCTGATGTTGATCGCATTGTTTGAGATTTTCTTTGTGAGTTGTGATCTGTGAGACGGTGTGTCTGTGTGACCTGTCACAGTGTGTGTGTGTGTGTGACCTGTCACACTGTGTCTGAATGTGACCTGTCACACCATGCCTGTATGGGACCTGTCACACCATGTCTGTATGTGACCTGTCACATCATGCCTGTATGTGACCTGTCACACCATGCCTGTATGTGACCTATCATACCATGTCTGTATGTGACCTGTCACACCAAGCCTGTATGTGACTTGTCACACCATGTCTGTATGTGACCTGTCACGCCATGTCTGTATGTGACCTGTCACACCATGCCTGTATGTGACCTGTCACACCATGCCTGTATGTGACCTGTCACACCATGCCTGTATGTGACCTGTCACACCATGACTGTATGTGACCTGTCACACCATGCCTGTATGTGACCTGTCACACCATGCCTGTATGTGACCTGTCACACCATGCCTGTATGTGACCTGTCACACCATGCCTGTATGTGACCTGTCACACCATGCCTGTATGTGACCTGTCACACCATGTCTGTATGTGACCTGTCACACCATGCCTGTATGTGACTTGTCACACCATGTCTGTATGTGACCTGTCACACCATGTCTGTGACCTGTCACACCATGCCTGTATGTGACCTGTCACACCATGCCTCTATGTGACCGGTCACACCATGCCTCTATGTGACCTGTCACACCATGCCTGTATGTGACCTGTCACACCATGCCTGTATGTGACCTGTCACACCATGCTTGTATGTGACCTGTCACACCATGCCTGTATGTGACCTGTCACACCATGCCTGTATGTGACCTGTCACACCATGTCTGTATGTGACCTGTCACGCCATGTCTGTATGTGACCTGTCACACCATGCCTGTATGTGACCTGTCACACCATGCCTGTATGTGACCTGTCACACCATGCCTGTATGTGACCTGTCACACCATGCCTGTATGTGACCTGTCACACCATGCCTGTATGTGACCTGTCACACCATGACTGTATGTGACCTGTCACACCATGCCTGTATGTGACCTGTCACACCATGCCTGTATGTGACCTGTCACACCATGCCTGTATGTGACCTGTCACACCATGTCTGTATGTGACCTGTCACACCATGTCTGTATGTGACCTGTCACACCATGTCTGTATGTGACCTGTCACACCATGCCTGTATGTGACTTGTCACACCATGTCTGTATGTGACCTGTCACACCATGTCTGTGACCTGTCACACCATGCCTCTATGTGACCTGTCACACCATGCCTCTATGTGACCTGTCACACCATGCCTCTATGTGACCTGTCACACCATGCCTGTATGTGACCTGTCACACCATGCCTGTATGTGACCTGTCACACCATGCTTGTATGTGACCTGTCACACCATGCCTGTATGTGACCTGTCACACCATGCCTGTATGTGACCTGTCACACCATGTCTGTATGTGACCTGTCACACCATGCCTGTATGTGACTTGTCACACCATGCCTGTATGTGACCTGCCACACCATGCCTGTATGTGACCTGTCACACCATGCCTGTATGTGACCTGTCACACCATGCCTGTATGTGACTTGTCACACCATGTCTGTATGTGACCTGTCACACCATGCCTGTATGTGACTTGTCACACCATGCCTGTATGTGACTTGTCACATCATGCCTGTATGTGACCTGTCACACCATGTCTGTATGTGACTTGTCACACCATGCCTGTATGTGACCTGTCACACCATGCCTGTATGTGACCTGTCACACCATGCCTGTACGTTACCTGTCACACCCTGCCTGTATGTGACATGTCACACCATGCCTGTATGTGACCTGTCACACCATGCCTGTATGTGACCTGTCACACCATGCCTGTATGTGACCTGTCACACCATGTCTGTACGTGACCTGTAACACCATGCCTGTATGTGACCTGTCACACCATGCCTGTATGTGACCTGTCACACCATGCCTGTATGTGACCTGTCACACCATGCCTGTATGTGACCTGTCACACCATGCCTGTGTG